TTTCTTTCTTTCTTTCTTTCTTTCTTTCTTTCTTTCTTTCTTTCTTTCTTTCTTCTTTTCTTTTTCTTTTCTTTCTTTCTTTCTTTCTTTCTTTCCTTTCTTTCTTTCTCTTTCTTTTCTTCCTTTCTTTCTCTTTCTTTTCTTCCTTTCCTTCCTTCCTTCTTCCTTCCTTCTTTTTCTCTTCCTTCCTTCCTTTCTTTCTTTTCTTTTCTTTTCTTTTCTTTTCTTTCTTTCTTTCTTTCTTTCTTTCTTTCTTTCTTTCTTTTTCTTTCTTTCTTTTTTCTTTCTTTCTTTCTTTTCTTTCTTTCTTTCTCTTTCTTTTCTTCCTTTCTTTCTCTTTCTTTTCTTCCTTTCCTTCCTTCTTTCTTCCTTCCTTCTTTTTCTCTTTCTTCCTTCCTTCCTTTCTTTCTTTCTTCCTTTCTCCCTCTTTCTTTCTTTCTTTCTCTTTCTCTCTTTCTGTTTTTCTCTCTTTCTTTTGACATACCAGTGTACCACTGTTATGCCTGTCCTGTACCCAGCTGAGGGAAATAGCTCAGTGGTAGACCATATGCTTAGCATGTGTGAGGTCCTGGGTTCAATACCCAAGTACTCTTATTCTGCATATTTTTTTCACTATTAAAAATAATCTCCAACTAACTTAATGCCTATGTCTAGGGTGAGGAGATCTCTTTATAGGGAAAACACAAAGCCTCCTCAATTACTGCTTTCATTTCCACATCTGGGTTCACTGGGCAATGTCCATTCTTCCCTTGGTTTGTTTCTATCTTGCCTTTATATCCCAAAACTTCTATACCAAATGGTAAATTGAAATGCCACAGACATACCCTATGTACACTAACGAGAGAAGGAATGACTCACCTAATATGTATATTGCTGCAAAGAAAGAAACATAGGTGGAAGTTCTTGTTTCTGCCTCTTGGTGATAAGGCAGTAGCTAGTATTCGTGCCCCTCCTTTACTGCCCATTTCACGTACTTCTTGCTTTGACCAGCACCTCAGCTGAATGGGGTTCTTCTTCTGGTAAGGAGACCACAAAACTTCATTCTTGAAAAACCTGAGCCATTGCTGGTCTTGCATGTGTAGGAGCATGTGCTCTTCTGTTAACTGAGCAGGCACTGTAAAGAGGCATCTCAGAAGTCATCTGGGTTCCATTCCTACTCCTCCCTGCCCCCATCTTGTAGAAGCAACACTTTTTGCCTTTTTTAAATGATTTTTTTGGTGGGGGGGAGGTAATCAGGTTTACTTATTTATTTTTAGAGGTACTGGGGATTGAACCCAGGACCTCATGCATGCTAAGCATGTACTCTATACCACTTGAGCTATACCCTCTCCCTCATCATTCTTTTGATGACACACAGACCTTAGTCATTGCCTATTGATTTTATTCCTAGACACCTTAAATCAGTCCTGATTTTTTAGTTGTCAACAACCAACTCTTACTAGTTCAAGCATAAAATGAACATTTTACAGGATATCCAGTAGCTGATACACTCTCCAGAAACATGAGAGAGAAATGGCTTGAAGGCTCACATAGCCAGTGCAAGGAATGACAGCCCAGCCACAACTGGGCGGCTCCAGCAAAGATCCCACTCCCAACTCCTGTACATTCACTACAGCTCCCACAAGGGACCCCCAGGCCAGCAGCCTGCCATCATTGTCTTCTAAACTCAGACTCTTCCACTGCCACCTGACCCAGAAGACAAGACTCCATGCAGTGCTGCTTTCCTTACTTTACTCACTCCCAAGCCGGTGAGTCTAATTGACAAAACCCAGATTATAGGATGTATCTGAGCTGAAAAGGAGGCTGGGAGAGTACGATCTGGCTTCCTCCTGGAGGAAGTGAAACTCACAATGTGTGAATCCCCAAACAGAAGTATCCACAACCAGAAGGCGTGAAAAATGTCCCCAAAGCACCCTTAATTAATTAACTACAGACACAGATCTTAAAAGGGCAAACCATTCTCAGCTCTGATTACCAAGCCTGACTCTGCTTCTAGTCCTTGAATGCTCCCCAGAATCCTGTTTTCTCCACTGAGATCTCCACAGGAGCCCATTTACTGGCTTACAGAGAGCCTATTAACCATTCCAGTGCTTTCTCAAAAACTTGGAGGTGTACAAGTATGCAGGATCTTCTCAAAGGTCAGAGTTGGGTGAGGGTGGCAGAAGGTTCATGATCGATGAGTCAGCATTCTTGTCCCCCAAAGGCTTAGAATTCCTTTTTCTACATCACATCAAGGAATTTCTGGCCTCTCATTGTTCTATAATGTGAACCAGGTTGAATCCAAATTCACTTTAGCCCACACAGCGAACTATGAGAAACATAAGGAGCTGTGAGAAATAGCACAATCATTACATAATCTCTGGTAAGAGCACCCATATCAATAAAATCCGTCCTATCTAAAATTATGTTCTCCCTCCTTGGCGGAATGCCTTAGAATTTATTCTAATAAATGGTCCCAGAGTCTAGAGATACAAATTGTCGAATTCCTACCACATGTTTTCCTGGGTAAATACTTTCTCTTCCCTACATTGATTTCTGTGCTTAACTACCCACACCCACCTGGCTATCACGGAACTGAATTCTGGTTACCAGCCTCCTAACATTGTGGGGAACTGTTAGCATCCTCTTGTGAGAAGCGAAAGGCTTCCTCTCACAAGGGATGGGCAGTGGGGAATTTCCAGAAGGATTTGGGGGTTTGGGTCTTCCCTGTCTTCTCAGCTATCCTTGTCCCAGTTGTCAGAGTTTCACACTATTTCACTGTGCCTCTCTCT